TTTAATTACTTTAAGTCGGTTCCCGAAGCCATATCAACACCTACAAACCAAAACCATCTAAGTGTACTATGAAGATAAGACAAATATATTTGAAATTTTGATTTTAAATATGTTTAAACATGGTAAAAATATCAAGGTAGTGTCATTCTCTCTTTTTGTAGCCATATTAACCTTCTGACGTTTGCTGGTATTTTATAAAATCGAGCTACCATACTCATTCCAAAAATACTACATATTTTGTTTATTGAAAAGTCAAATATAAAATAATTTCTCACAGAATTTTTTGAAAATATAAAAAATAAAATCAAAGGAATTAAATAATATTAAAAAAAAAGAAAAAAAAGTTAGCGCTAAAAATCTACGATGATTTACAATGCCAAGGCCATCAAAATGATTTAAAGCTACAAGAGACAAGTGCTTAATGTAATTACCAGTTTTAAGGGCCAGCTACCAACATGCCAAGGGCCAGCTACCAACATGGCCTTCGGACAACTGTTTCCAGTTGTATCAGAATTCTGAAGAATTTAATTTTTAGGTCTAGTGAAATCTGTTGCACTTCAGGAGCCCCTTATAACCAATATGTACATAACTATCTGTGTATGTAGTATGTAATACCCTGCAAAAATTATTGGAATATATTTGGAGTACATGATCCGTTTAGTAGTTTTTTTTATAACAACATGGTCCACAGACATACATGTCTGTCTTAGAATCTTGTAAGGACCCATTGTATACATAGGGCAATTTCGTGTCAAGTGACCCAACTCAAAAATTCGATTTGGATGAAATTTGCACCAAGGTTAGTACTATCGGATAGTAGGATAGACACAAATTTTCAGTTCTATCGGTCAAGAACTGTCCATTATGGGACTATAAGCACTTAAAGGAAATTGTATAAGCTTTCATCTGCGCGCCAATAGTTGATAAGTTAAACTCATTTGAATAAAATCCTGTATGACCAAAATGTCCAACTTTGACCCGCTCGTAAGACCGGCTGTTCTTGACCTATAGAGCTGAGAATGTGTGTCTGGCCTACTATTCAATAGTACTAACCTTGATGCAAATTTCATCCAAATCGGAAGACATTGATTTTAAAAGTTGGGTCACTTGACACGAAATTGTCAATTTATACTTTTGTGTGTTTTAGATGAATCATTCCATGTATTACAAACGGAATGAGAAAATCTTATACACTAGTTTAATATATACAAATTACACATAAAAAATACAAAAGCCTTAAATTTGTTTCCCCTTTAACGTATGTGGCAACGACTTTTTTATGTTTACAAAAAACAAATTTCAGAAAATACCTTCATATTTTTATCATGTGTTTAAATATATTTAAACATTGACAGGCAGTTTTGTATTTAGTTCACACTAAGGGAGAAAATCTACTAAAGTTTGAAAATTTCGTACCAATTTCGAAATGCCAGCCATAAAACTAACTTTTTAGATTTCGATTGTTTTACTTTGGACGCGTTGATATAATCACGAAATCTCTGCGAAAATAAAGAAATGAGAGTTAATTGTAAAACATTGGTACACAAGTTCGAGTGCTTTACGAGAGTACCTTGATGCACGCAATCAATCATTGTTACTATTCCAACCACAAGGAGATACGATCCATCACTGTCCCTTAGTGACTTGAAAAGAACACCCACTTGGCAATTTTTGTACATGGCTGATGTCGATCCATGTTTAAGCACTTTGGTCAATATCTGACCATCACATTTGAGGTTAGGCCGCCTCAGTTAGAGACGTATCTGAAAGCCATTACTTCGTTACTTACTCACAGAAGACACAGTGTGGTAAGTCTAGTATGAACAGAGTAAAGCCTGAACGTATCCTGACAAATTTTATCGATACCTATCCTTAATAACTTAACCCTTTACACGACTCAATTTACACGCAACAGTAAGTCGTTTAAGGGATTCTGATGTCCCGGAAACAACACCGAACAGAAATATTAATCTTTAAAAAAATATCAAATTCCGAAAATGATCTTTACAGTAACCAGCATAAATGTCCAAAATTATGGCTTTCTGGTCATCAGTTTCCATGACACCAGATAGTTTAGGTTCTATAGGTTTATCTCGACGGTAAAGCACATGTAGCCCAGTTGTAGTTCCACAGTCTGTCGTTTGAGGGATTCTGTTGTCTCGGAAATAGCACCGAACTTATCCTGAAATATTAATCTTTAAGACAATATCCTATTCCGAAAATGAACTCTCCAGTAGCCTGCATAATTAATCAACATAATGCCTTTCTGGTCACCGGTTACCGTGATACCAGATAGGTTAGGTTCTATAGGTTTATCTCAATGGTAAACCACATGTAGCCTCTATTGATTAGGCCGCCTAGCTTAGAGACTATCTTGAAGCCATTATTTCGTTACTCACAGAGAATACAGTATGGTAAGTCTAGTATGAACAGAATAAATCCTGAACGTACCCTGACAAATTTTATCGATACTTAATCTTAATAATTTAACCCTTTACACGGTACCACGGTCAGTCGTTTGATGGATTCTGTTGCCACGGTAACAGCATTGAACTTATCCTGATATATTAGTATATACCATTCCAATATCCTATTCCCAAAAAGACATCTTCAAGAAACTGCGCAAGACATAGTCCAAAACTATGTATTGATGGCCTTCGGTTTCCGTGACACCTGCGGTTTCTCCATGGGGGAAAACATTGATACAAATTTGTTCAAAGAATTGACCATCATATGGATTCCATGCCAAAAGAACAGCTCATTTTTTGAGGCCAAGAACTATCTGTTTTGAAGTGAAGCTTGTTCCAGTAAGATCGTCTGACCTTATTTCAGCAACTAACAATAGATGAGATCCTTCATGTCACCAAATATAGAGTATTACCTTGGAGCAATGGCCATTCGGCTTTGGTGTTGATTCGGTTGGTTTGATTTCTTCATTTTCGGGTTTTTAGTAATAGATCCATTTTCCAATGACAGTAATGATTCAATTGAAGCTGATTAAAATCAGTTTATTATTTCACATAGCACTTAAAACTAGACGATTTCTTAATAATATCCAAAATGGCTTCCGAAATTTAGTTAAATTTGAATAAATCTCTTAGAAAAGTTGGTATTACTATTAAATTATATAAATTAGTTTTATCACAATCAATAGATAATGCAACATACATAACTGCCATATAAGGTGGATTTTCGGAAAACACTAAATATATCATAAAGCGATTATAAATATTCACTACAATGCAAATAACTTATATGAACAACCAGAAAATCTATATGCATCTATAACACAACATGTAAATCAGTTATATTTTCAATTGGATGTGAAAAATTTACAAGAGTCAACTGAAACAAGACACATTTGGCAGTGCATGATAAAAATATAACACGAATAACCCATTAGTAGCACAAACGGTAACCGCAACCATAATCACACAGACATCACAAAATAATCCAAAATACTACAAAGCAAAAAACGGTTACAAAAACAACGCTTACACATCAGTATTGTTATCGTATAACGAGTACTTGTGCTTACATGGGTCTGTTTACAATCAGGCTTACTTGTGCATGAATATAGGAACCCATGCTCCGCCTTTTTTCAAGTATATGTATATACTCAAAACCTGTAATAAATACAAGTACATATAGGTACAACTTTTATATTCTCTCTCTTACTCTCACTACACCATTAACTGGTGTTTATGGAGAAGCAAAAAAAAAACACCATAAACACAACCACCACCAACACACTACTAGTGTTTGTTTTTATTTTATTTTTTTTTTAAGTAGAGGCATTAAATTGTCATCATCATCGTTGATATAGTGGGCACCATCAGTTGGAATACTCAGGGAAGGAGTACCCATGTACGTCTAAGTAGTGGTAGTAAAACTGAGTTTTGTTTAAATGAGAGTGCATGTGTTTGTGTGTATGATGAATATGTATCTTTTGTGTGGGCGCCATTTATCACCTCTCACTTGCATATTTAAACAAGTACATACTCATACTCTTACAAATTTTTATTCATGCTCTTTTGTTGTTGTGTTTCTACTTCTCGTAATGTGCCCTCATCATTACATTGGCCACATGCAGTGGACCCAAACCGTAGTTGACTAGATGTGTATACTCTATGTGTTATTTTATGGTTTGTGTGCGCGTGTATTGGATTGTTTTTTTGAATGTGATTCCGGTATGCTGCTGCTGTCCCAATCCCATTGCGCTGAACACAAAAACAAGACTACAAACTACTCAAGTAATAATGATGATGATAATGGTTGTAGCACCACCAGTCTTGGGTTGTCGTTCGTAAGCACCAGACGTTTATTTGTTTGTTCTTTACCAAATCGCTTGCTAACTCGCTGGCTCGCTCGCACGCTCACAAAATTTCGTTACGGTTTTGGCACCTCTGCCTAGTGCTTGTTTTTTATATGTACATACTTGTTGTGATATTTTATTTACTACAAAAATACTTTTACATACTATATATCAAAACAAATGAATCATTATTAAGAGTCCCATTTTAAGACCCCACTATTATCAGCATCGGAATCATCAACATCATCATACGCCACCATACACGCATCATCATCATCGGTGTCGTTTTGTGTATTATGAACGCTTTAGTGCTGCTGCTGGTCTATCTAGTAACGCCTTAAAAGTGCGTTTTACGGTTTTTATAACTGGTGTTGTTGTTTATTTGTGTAACCAAGTACTAGATATTTGGTTCAGTTGCTTTGTTAAAGTGCGCTTGGTTGACTTTACTACAACTGGAGGCTGTTATTTAGTCAATCATTGGTGCTCATTCTATGTGGACGTAAAAAAAAAGATTTCTTTATAAAGTTACAAATAATAAAATAAAAATTTTCATAAAACATGTTTCTTAAACAAAATGTGTGTTAGTGTTAAAGGATTATAAAAGTGTGTTTTTTAATAATTTATAAAAAAAATATTTTAAAAATAAACAAATGTTTTAAAACAAAATTTCAAAGTATATAAAAGCAATTGCAAACAAATACAGATATTTAACCAGTGTTTAAGTGTTTTAAGCCATGATGGCTTTAAAAATGTTATACCGTGGGCCCAGTTCAAGATTAGAAAATTTAATTGAAAAAATTCAAGCCACCAAGGAAATTGTTAATGCCGGTAATTATTTATTATTTATACGTATATTTTTTGCAACTGCAATATAATTTATAAAACAAATATGGAAAATTAAGGTATTTATTTATTAAATAATGTTAAGGAATGTAATATTTATCTGGTTGACCGATTTATCAAATTTTAAATATTAACTCCCTTATGCATAACCATTTATCAATGGTTTATAGAACAAATTTTGTATGAAAAATTGTCTTATAAACCTTTGATAAATTTAAATGAATGATATATAAATAGGTTATCTGTATTATAATGAGTAAAAGAAATCAAAAAAATCTTATTCCCAAAGTTCATGTGTTTCTTCAGAAGGGAATAGAGCAATGTAACCAATAAATGTCATTTATTTGGTTTAATTAGCTTTTAACTCTGCACTTTCTTTTAAACAAACTACAGATTCGAATTTCAAAGATATCTATTAAACAAGTAGGAAAGTATAGTCGAGCCGACCATATGATAGCCTACACCATGAGTATATTTAAAATTTTTTTCATAAAGAAACTTTTATGTTGAATTCCAAAGTATTCAAGCAATTTATTGATAAAAAAAAACAAAATTTCTAAATGAGGCTTTATATTGGAGTATAGATCAAACATGGAACGATCCTCATTAAATTTGGAAAAAGGATATATTTTTAAAAAACTGTTAGTTATGTTGAGTTTCATTGCGATACAAATGGTTACAAGTCAATTTTGAGACGTTTAAGACACTTTTTGAAGGGGGGTTTTGTATGGGGGCTAGTGTCAATTAAGAGCCGATCATCACGAAAAGTGTCATTTATACTTAAATAAAACTTATTTGTGCCAATTTTTGGAGAGATAATAGTATATTTTACGGAATTACGGCATAAAAAGCCCCAATCGGTAGGTACAGTTGTATAGGGGCTAGGTGAAATAATGAACCGATTTCAACCATTTTCGTCCCTGTGCCAAAAAACATGTTTGGTCCAAATTTCATCAAATTATCTTGAAAATTTCGGCCTGTACCTTGCGCACAAGGTTTACATGGACAGCCAGCCGGACAGACGGACAGACGGACGGATGGACGGACATGTCTTAATCGACTCAAAAAGTGATTCTGAATCGATCGGTATACTTTAAGGTAGGACCAATATTTTGTGTGTTATAAACATCAGCACAAACGTATAATACCCTCTCCACTATAGTGGTGTAGGGTATAAAAAGATTTAAATCACAGCTATATTGCGCATAGAGTCCATAACGGAATATTTTTCAAAATTCTTCTAAAAAGCTTTCATATAAAGCCTACAGACGGACTATTTAGCGTTTCTAAACAGAATCACAATCTGAGTAGATTATAACATGTCCGTCCTTCCAGCTGGCTGTCCAGGCTACAATTTTATATTGATGAAATTTACACCATACGTTCTATTTGGACCAAGAACGAAGTTTATAGAAATCGGTCCATTGTTTCACCATACTTCCTACCGTTCCTTCCGATTTGGTCTTTTTAGTTTATAACTACGACAAATATACTAGTATCTCTTCAGAAATCGACACAAATAAGTTTTATATAAGCATAAATAATTCCGCTCTGATCGGCCCTTATTTGACCCTAGCCTCCATACAAACTATGTTTTAGAAATTCTGAAATCAAGTACGGAACGAGTTTAAATCAATCTCATTTTGCGATTAATGAAATCAACACATCAAGTATGCATTTGAACTTAAAACAAACTAAAAATTCTTAAAATATATACATTATGAGATCATTTCGAGCTCGAAATGGTTTAAATAGCGCTCATATTATCACCTTGTACTTGAAGGATCCGTACTTGAATCAAGTATGTATGTACATTGTACTTCATTTTAGTAATTCCGTACTTACTGCATTATTGTTATTGCTCCGGATAGAATCAAGTACGGATTTCTCAATTAATCGAATTGAATTATTAACACGATTATTGAGATATCGACCATATTATAGCAAAAAGCTATTTTTTTTTGTACCAAGTTCCCTGGGGGCTTAAACGATTTCATAAAGATATATTAGAGAAACATATACATTAGGGTTATAACTTTTATACAATTTGAGTCTATTTTAAATCGACATTAAGAAGTACGTCGAGAAAGTATATCACCTTTTCCCGAGCATTAATGCTTTAAAGTTTTCTAAAAAATCACACTTCTGAGGTCGTTATTATGAATTTGGCAATTGGGTGTTCAAACACTAACGAGCATTCAATTGGTATTTTCAAATGAAAATGGCGTAATCATGAGCAGCAGTGTCGAATAAGATCTGAATTATGCTAAAATTGCGTTTGCGGTGAATGGATCAAGATCATTGGCCAACCACTGAAACAATGGATTTAATGTGAATCAAATTACCAAATCGTATACATTTGCGATATTCAGTATCTCGTAATTGGTCGCCTTGATCGTGCGACTAAACTCCAATGGACTATTTTTTGTAAGGATGTGTTAATGATGGAGTCAATCAAATCGATTACAATCTTAAAACTCAAAATCCGGGAGGTAGTTAATAGAATGAACTATAAATTACTTGTTTTATTTTTTGAAAAACAAGCTCTTCATGAAAAATTTCTTTAAAATCTACACTCGAGAATTGAGATAAATCCGGGGATTACTAGTATTTTAGATCAAAAGTGCAGTCCGGGTCTTGCTAGTTGGTATCTTGATTTGAAACGGACTTAAAAGTTCGATAATAAAATTAAGCTAACATATAGTTTATCAAAAACAAAATCTAGTTTCCCTAATTACAGATAAATAGTTGTATTTCTGAATCAGTTCGTGATGTTCGCACAACAAGACGTTTAAACAAATACACAACACGAGAGGGTTATAAAAGTTCAGATTAAAAATAAATTGAGTCAAAACTTTTACAGACCTTTTAACCCTAACGCTAACAAAAACAACCAAACAAACATTTAAAATGTAATAATACTAATAAAACTGAAACTGACAACAATTAACATAGAACAGATTGAAATAAATTGAAACCAAAAAAAACTATATAATTACAAGATTTAAAAACTCACACAGACATTTCAGAACCAAATTATTAAACATTCATTCGCACTGCTGAGTGGTATGTATGTGAGTACACTCAAGAAAAATAAACAGTAACCGATGCTAATTAAAATTAATTTGTAGTTTCCCTCGTTAAATGAGCAAACAATTGAAATAATATTGGGGCGTCTAGCCTTCTTACAAGCTGAAGATGAACTACATCAAATGACAACAATATACTAAATAGAGGCTTCGGAGAAGAGTATCAGTTTAAAACAATTGTAATTAAAATGTAGAATTAAAACGGAGGTTTTAATCGTAAAATAAAGAATTATTACTTTGCATGACTAGGATTGAGTGTGATGGTGTTGTTGTAGTTGTCGTCGTTGAATTTGAATGGGAGGGAGGCTTTTTCTTTTGTTTTTATTTTAATGACACACTCTAAGTGTCTTGATTAAGTATATAGCGGCTCTCACAAGTATTTAATGATTTTAATAGAAATGGATCACACAACGAACGACCCATAAGACAAGATCGTATTAATTAAATTAGTTTTACTTTAGCTGATATAACTGTATAAGATCTCTGTGTCTGTTTCACATTGCAACTCATCACATTTAATAGAGGAACCATTTCCTGTTATTGCATGATGATAATTAGGATGTTAACAATCTACCAACAACACCAAAACTATTTAACTACTTACCACCTACGCTTTAAATATAGTGTGTATGTGTGTGTGTGTGTGTGTGTCTGTGACTATAATTAACTAAAACAAATAGATGACTAATTTTTATACAAATGATTTCATCGAATTTTAAATTTAATTATTACTTATTTTCTCTTTATTTTTTTTTTAGACATGTACTCGACACATACATCGTCAAGTTATTCACCTTCAATATCAGATGGTACTATGACACCAAATTCTTTACATCATCATCAACACCACCATCATCAGCAGCATTTAGTTATACCACCGCATTTACCCTTTCCCAATACGACTGCTTATGAGGAAGACAACAACACAACGTCTTCGTTGGCCCTACAGACACAACGTCTGCACAGACAACAAAAAACCAATGGCACTTTGGATGGCGCTGACTATGAAGACAACGCCAATGACAATGACAACGACCACAATAACGAAAGGATTCACAAAAATGATACAAAATTATGTGAAGACAACAACGACGATACAATTGTTGCAGACAATAAGACAACCGCAAATATTCACGAAAGTGGCGATGAACATCATCAGCAACAACAGCAGCCGCACCATCAACATCATCAACTTAAACGTCATGGTCGTCATCATCGTTATGCTGAACATGCCTTAAGAATTCCTTCAAAATTACGTAAAATCGATAGGGATTCAGCGGTTGGTAATGGTGCTACTATAACTACAACTAATACGACTACTGCTGCTGGTGGTGTTGTTGGAGGTGTAACAACAAATGCAGTCAAGTTTGATAAGTTGACAGGAGATGGTATTAAAAGTGGTAACAATGCTGCCAGTGCCGACGGATCCTATCAATGTCAATTCTGTGATAAATCATTTCCGCGTCTTGGTTATTTGAAAAAACATGAACAGGTAAGTGAAAAGGAATTTCTTTCATTGTTTGTTTGTTTTTACTTGTGTCTTTAAATGGGGTGTCTTCATTAAAAGTTTATGTTCTTTTAAATTGTTAGAGCGTTAATAATTATTTAATGGGGTTGTATTTGTTTTCTTTGGTGTGATAAAGGTTTTTTATGATGCTTTAAATTATTTTATGTTGGAGTAAGAAGTTAAGGGTGCACTTCAAGTAATTTAGATTTTTTTTAACAAATTGAAAATTTATGTTAAAATCTAAGTCTCCCGTTAAAAAATCTATTAAACGATTTATTTTCCACTTTCCCAAATAACTGTTTGACTCTTAAACTGTATATTAGATTATATTGATTTTTTCAAATTATCTGATTGTAATCCAGGGAAATGGACTAGACTCCTCCATCCAGCATGTAATTACAGCCTACACCCACCTTAAAGTATACCAATCGGCTTAGAATCACTTTCTGAGTCGATTAAACTATGTCCGTCTGTGTGTCCATGTAAACCTTGTACGCACGCTATCGGTCGCAATTTTCAAGATAATTCTTCTTTTGCCCCAAAAACTATTCAAAATGGTTGAAATATACAACTATACAACCGAACTCCCCGAATAGGGCTTTTGAGCTTATAACGGCAAATCTCAGTTTCATAAAAGTTGGAAAGATACTGCGTAATTTTGTAATGATCGGGCCTCTTTTGACTCTAGTCCCCAAACAAAGTCCCCTTCCATGAGGGTGAAAACTCACTTTTTAGACACTAGTATCACATTGAAATTCGGCATAAATAATTTTAATGTCATCGTAAATTGCTATATCAAGATGTATATGTATAGGACCTTTACCTTTGTACCCATATAAACCCTCTTTCTGAAAATCATTTTTTTGGTAACAAATTGCTAAATATTTCGGAATTAGGTTAGTTTTAGGTTAGGTTGATAGGAGGATGTATAGTACATCAAATCCGAAGAAATACATTTTAATGTCATCGTAAATTGCTATATCAAGATGTATATGTATAGGACCTTTACCTTTGTCCCCATATAACCCCTCTTTCTGAAAATCATTTTTTTTTTGTAACAAATTGGACGTGACGTGATTCCTAAGAATTTTCCAATCAGTGTTAGTCAGGAATGTTATTTCCGGAATAACATCACTTCCAAGATACTTGGATCTAACTTCGTCGAATGCTTGACAGTCGCAAAGAAAGTGCTCCAGAGTTTCACTGGCTCTACATTCGTCTGAATCCGCACGCCCAATTTTGTATAGATGTGCTCGTAATCCTGTGTGTCCACTCAGAATACGTGCCATCATATTAACTTCAGACTTGCTCATTTTGAGGACATTTCTCGTCTTATTCTCATCAGGGTCACCCCATGGGATCTTTGTGGTTCTACCCACCGTTTCATTATTCCAAGAGGCCTTGTGACAATCTCTCACCCATATTTATAATTCAGACCAACACGGTCTTAATTTAATTCACCTGCTATCGCTTTAATTGCCTTCTGGCTGTCGGTAAATATATTAAGGGCTGTGGGCGCCATATTTATTTAAATCAATTTACACATTCCGTTATTGCTCGCACTTCTGCCTGGAAGCTTGTGTTATGATTAGGTAAAAGGTAGTATATTTCTGTTTCTGGGTCTTCAATATAGAACCCCAGGCCCACTTTATCCCCCAATTTAGAACCATCCGTGTAACAACAGATTCCTACTGGTATTTGCTGTAGTTTTCCGCTTGACCATTGACATTCTATCTGGGATCAGCGTTTCAAAGTTTCCGACATATTCTTTGTCTGGTATGCAATCAGGCGCGACCGATGGTTGTGTTTAACCTTCCAATTTGTCCAGTATACATTGATGACTTGTCTTATAACCGCTTTTGGCCAGTTCGCCTAAAGTAAAGAGTGTTTCAATGGGAGGAATATCCAGCAACGTTCAAAGCGGTCCACCAGATTATAAGCTAAAATTGGTCTAATTACACAAAATTTCGTTTAACGGGATTTTCCGAATATACTTGAATCAATCCAGTGCAATGTCAATAGTACGTTAAGAACAGATTTACTTAAATCAAATACAAAATACTTGATTCAAGTACGGATCAATTTATTATAAAAAGCTTCATTTTAACTTAAAGTTTTTTTGAATTTTTGTTTTGTTTTAAGTTCGAATGCATATTTGAAATGCGATAAAGATAAGACTGATTTTATGTCTGAATTAATCCCTAAATGTGCTTGTTTTGAGTTCAATTCGAACTTGACTTCCTTTTTCTTAATACAAATGTAATACAGATTTTCTGAAGAATGCTTTATATGCGGGGTAGAGTTAAATATGGGCCGATCCACGTAAAACTTGATAGAAAATTAAACACAATTTTGAAATATTCTTTCGAAATATTTTCCTTGTATTTTTGTAAATTTTTCCTAATACTACAACTCATTCCATGTTCTGTTTAAACTCATATTTTACTAGATTTTATTTTTTAACATTTTAATTTTTTTCATTTAAACCGTATTCATTTAAGTGTACAAGTGAATGTGTTTAAATAAATTATACGCATTTCACTTAGATGAATATGTAGACTCATTTAGATGTTAATCAAAAAAATAAGAAAAAAAAGTATATTTGTGACTTACCACAATAAATGTGTACGAGTGTAATAAAACATTTTGGACTCTTTTATGCAATTAGCGTATTTTGCAAAACAAGTTAAAATAGCCCCAGACATACGCTATATACAACCAAATGCACTTGCATTTGTAGCTTATTAAACAGAATGTTCTTAGAAAACTGTTTGAGCATACTAAAGTAGTAGTGTTTTGGAAATGGAAACAGAACAGAAGAGTAAATTTTATTTAATAATTGCGGCTACCAAACGACCTCTGCATACCAAAACATCTTGGTTTGAGATTGGAGAATGAATGATACTTATTTTTAATGTGATAAATGGCTACTAACCAACGACCGTAGGTGGCTAAATGCTTGCAACAACAACAACCACAATAATCGTAATAAAAACATAAGGAACATTCTAATACTTTGTCATCATCATAATCACAATAATCAACCAGGGGGAATCATCATCACAGTTTTAGATGATTACCGCAAATATAAATATGTATCCATGCATATATGAATTTTGTTTTGTTTTTGTATCTACTTGTTTAAGCGGTTAAAACGCTTTGATATGTTAACTTTTAAGCGTCAGCGTTTTAAAATCGAGTGAGTAGAAGAGTTAAGTAGTGTGTGTGTATGTTTGTGCTTGGTTTAAGTTACCAAATACTGCCTAAACTCCTTCTTTTTTACACTATTCGTAACGTTCGTCGGAGTAGACATACAGAGTGAAAGATGGACGGACGGACGGTCGGATGAATGATTGTACGGACAGACTTACAGACGTAGTTTAGGTACAAATAAAACTAAAGATTCTATACTAAAATTAGCCCATTTGTATGCATACAATAAGTCGTTTCGGTTGTATATGTATGTAACGCTCTTTATAACAAGTACAAATTTTTATTTATTTTGTTATTGTCTTTTAAGCCCAAAGAATTATTGTGTGTTGATTATGGTTTTTTAAACTGTTTTTAAAAAGACTAAACAAACAAATCATTATAATTATGTGTGTATGACTATAAACATTTTTACCAACCGCCTTCTCTTATTTTTTTTGTTTTTTTTTTTTTTTGACTACAATATCACTTGAATTATGAAGTAATGCATGTGTAGTCGGTAGTGGTCGACTTTAAAAGCACCTTGCGTTTCAGTTATGGAATTCTCCAAACTTTCTTTCAACATAGGGATTCATTTTCACAAGATGTGCTTAAAGTCACGAACTAGTCAAGCTGTTCTATAGAGAAACATATTCCAGTGAAAATGTTTTGCATTGTCGAAACAAATTGTAGTCGAACGAAATAATGTCTGAGCTTCTCAACTCCTATTTTCCAAATAGTTATTAACTATTCTTTTAACATATGGACAAATATGACATGATAATATAAGTTTTATGGCTTCATTTATGGTCGTTTATTCCAAGGTTTTTCGGTCAATGCTCGCTTCAAATTCGATACTAGTTTCCTGCAATCGTCTGGCCTGTTTTAGCAGTTCTAGTTCTACGAAATGCACAGTATTTCCTTGATGGGATGAATGTTCGACTTTGGCATTGATTCGTCTGGTTGACCTGGGTTTACATACATTTCTTCAGCTTTGGGTTGTCCTAATGGATTCAATTTTTATGATTAGATCCAAAAATGTGTTCTTTTTATAGAGTGCAAGCTGCAATTCGGGCATGCTTAATGCTCATCTCGGCATCAACTCTTGTGATACCCCATTATCTTGCTTTGTTGGAGTTGCTTCCAATAATTTTTAAGTTCTTCTTGAGAATGAAACAATCTTCATGAAGTAATGCATCCAGTTAAACATTTTCCAACATTGTGGTCTTAATCTTCAGTGTCACTTTCAGTGTCCTTCTTGCATTTTTCAAATTGCCGTTGGAGTTGCTTCCAATGATTTTTAAGTTCTTTTTGAGATTGAAAGCAATCTTCATGGAGTAATGCTTAATGCTCATTCGGCGCCTGGGTTCTTTTTTTAATGTTCAAGCTGCAAATCCGACATGCTAAATCCTCTTTCAGTGTCTCTCGGCTTCAACTCTTGTGATACCCCATTATCTAGCTTTGTTGTAGTCGCTTCCAATAATTTTTAAGTTCTTCTTGAAAATGAAAGCAATCTTCATGAAGTTAAACATTTTCCAACATTTTGGTCTTAATCTTCAGTGTCACTTTCAGTGTCCTTCTTGCTTTTAGATGAATCCTGCATTTTTCAAATTGCCGCTGGAGTTGCGTCCAATGATTTTTAAGTTCTTTTTGAGATTGATTTTTACTCATGATTTTCCAACATTTTGGTCTATTTCAGCGTCCACCAGCTTCACTCGTGTGATATTCTATTTTCTTGCTTTTAGATGAATCCATCGTTTTTCAAATTAATTCTTGAGTTGCTTCTAATGATTTTGAAATTCTTCCTGAGATTGACATCAATCTCTATGGAGTAATGCCTCTAATTCATCATCTTCGAACATTTTGGTCCTGGTTGTCAGTATCAAAATAATCAATTTTAAACCATATGATCCCCACAAACCATTTGACACATTTGGAAAATTTATACACAGAATTTTATATTTTTGGAACACTGATATCCTAAACCTATTTGACAAAAATCACACTAGAGCCTTCAAAAAACTTTAAAATAGGGGAATTTCCTAAAATTTTCCGTGTCTAAAGTCACCTAGTCCTAATAAATGGAACTCGCAGTTTTTCTTACTTTCCATATCATTGTTTTCTTACTTTCCATATATTTGTCTCATCATAATGATTTCAATTTGAACTACCTGTACATTTTGTTGTAGTATACAAAAATTTCAACCAAAACAAAAGACTTTTAAAACAATCATAATGATGATGTTGTTAATGATGATGATGGAAAAAGAAGAAAAATCAGAACGTGCGGTATGATGACAAGCGACAACATCAAAAGTTGTTACTAAAAATTTGCGCATTCTGATAAAAATCTTAAAGGAGCCAACAACGTGTTTTGTTGGTTCATTCGTTTGATACTTAAAAACAATTTAAAAGTTTCATCCATCAAAACAGTTTGGAGTTGAAATACAGAAACAAACAAACACACAAAAAAAAGAATTACAAATACTTGCAGTTTGACGAAAGAATTTTTCAAATATTTACGGTTGCCACATTTGAGAAGTGATGAAATATAGTTTGTATTTGTTGTATTTGGGGTATTAAAATATTTTCAATATTTTTGTCACCAAACGACAGTCATTAAAGTGATGTAAGTTTAATATTTACGTAGATAAATGAAAACAGAATTGTAACAGCAGGCAGCATAATAGAGGAGTTTAGTTTGATACAATGATTAGCCCCAGATTTGAAATGTACATCAATAGTTCTGAAGATCTTAACAATTTAATTCTAAAAATGTTATCAATGTTTTTCATTACAGAGTCATGCTGAACACTTGCCCTTTAAATGTGAATACTGTGCTCGTCTCTTTAAGCACAAGCGTTCTCGTGATCGTCATACTAAATTGCATACAGGCGATCGTCGCTATCGTTGTCCTCATTGTGAGGCCGCTTTCTCAAGAAGGTAAATATTTAAAAGACTTAACGATATTTTGTATTTACAGCTTTCTTTTATACAATTCCTTCTGTAACTGTATTCTAAAACGATCAACAATTTCCTTTCGTTTCTAGCGATCACTTAAAGATCCATATGAAAACTCACGACAACCAAAAACCATTTCAATGTACCATTTGCAATCGAGGCTACAATACAGCGGCTGCTCTTACATCACATATGCAAAATCATAAAAAACAAGCGGCTCTTCTAGCTGCTGGTGGTAATCCTCAAGCTCTTAATTATAGTCCACGTTCTACGGGTTCGGCTTCTAGTAATGGCAGTTTACAGAAACGGCGTTACGGTTTAGCAGCAGCCTCCGAACAGAGTCCAAATCGTCTTGACTATCCAAAACGAGGACGTTCCTCTTCGTCGAATATGCTTAAGTGTACATTCTGCTCAAAGTCCGATTTTACTGCCGTAGAACAGTTAAACAATCATCTACAAACTCAACATGAAAAAGAATTGGCTCATTCTATGACTCCTCCTTCCACTAACAACAATCAAGCTTTAGATAATCACGCCTTCCAGCTATCGTGTGAATATTGTACCATGAAGTTTCCCAATATTGCTGCCATGTTCCAGCATATGCGCTCAGCTCACTTGGATCGTTTGACTAGTCCTAATTCATACTTTGAACATTTTAATCGTCTGGCAGCCTCGGGCACCTTTAGTCCACGTTTATTAACAGGGCCTCCTTTAAGAAGTGCAGCCAGTGCCGAGGAGAACAGCATTAAAGAAGAACACAATTTATCAAGTCCTAAATCGGTGGAAGCTGTTACACGTCAAAGTGAAGATGAACCTACCGATCTAAGCCAAAATAACCGTAGATCAATGACACCTACAAATACTCCTCAGAATTCTCCTCAAGAAAATTTCTCCACCAACGAAAAACCAGGTTTATTCTTCTGCAATCAATGTAACGCTGGTTTACCCGATTTCGAATCTTTTCGCAATCACTTGAAAACCCACATTGCCCAGGGTCTCAATCTAGTGTGTCATCATTGCGGCCTGCTATTGAGGGAGCATGCTGAGTACGAAAGACATGTTATTTCACATTTCCTAATAACAAATTCTGAGTACAATTGTGCGGGTAACTGCCAGAAGTCTTTTGGAAAGCCGGAGGAATTACAAAAACATCTTTTGGATCAACATGCCATAACAATGTTCAAATGTGGTCTTTGCAGTGAAATGTTTGAATCGAAAGTGGCCATACAAGTGCATTTTGCCTGCACACACTCCGCAGAAACCAAAATCCTAAGATGCTCCGCCTGCATGGATGTATTTAGGACGGAAAATGATTTTAACTTGCATGTTAAAACTCGTCATCAAGCGGTAAATAATGCACCAGCTCCCGTAAATTCTTTGCAGTGCATGTTTTGTCGTACAGTATGTTCCTCTGATTTGGAAATGCAGTTCCATTTGGCAGCCCATGCTAGACAATTTCGTTGTCCTTCCTGCCCGGAAACTTTCCATGTTGAATTCTTACTCGATCGCCATATGCAAACACATCATGGAGGCTTAGAACGTCCTCCACCACCACCGCCTCCAGCAGCTCCATCTATTGGCGAAGAACATACATCTCCTGTTCCCAATCCTAATGCTATATCTCCCATGAATTCCTTATATGTGAATGCTCTATTTGGCAAATCACCGTTAATGCCGCTGGCACCACAAAATAATAATAACAGTATATTGGATTATAACATGGCATTTGCCTCACATCTCAATAAGGGTCTATTTCCCAATACCACACCCAACAAGTTTTACAATCCTCTACAAATTGACACAAATGCCATGAAACACTCTGCCCTAATGTACGGTTTGTCACAGAGATATTTCGATACTAACCGCACCGTAATGGAAATGTATCAACAACAGCAGCAGCAACAACAACAACATCATCAGGAAAATAACAAAACGCCGGGTAACTATTTTATTAGCCCCAAACAACCATCAGCTGGACCTCATGATGTTCATCATCGCAACGATATGCCTGCTTCCCCCATTAACAATACCGGTTTCAGTTGTGGCATTTGTGAACGCAACGATTTTCGCACCGAGTCAGAAGTTCACTCACATCGCAAGATTGTACATAATCTTAAGACGGGGGTTAGTTTAAAGTGTGCCTATTGCTCGGGTAACTTTAAGTCACGCAGTGAATTGGAGCATCATATGAAAACCTGTCACAATTCTACTGGCAAACACAAATGTTTGATCTGCGATGAAATCTTTCCCTCACCAGCCATATTGGCCGAACATAAATTGCAACATTCCAAGGTGGGACAATCGGGAAAATGTTCTCACTGTTCCAAGGCATTGGCCGATGTTAGTGCATTTAAGGCTCATTTATCCGAACACAATACAGAAGGTCAAATGCCAGTACAGTGTATCTGTTGTCGCCAGTCTTTACATTCCGAATTTGAGATTGGACTGCATGCCAAGTAAGTATTCGTAACTCAGTTAAAGAAACTTTTAATTCGTTTAGAAAACTTTTTCATTTACGAGTTAGTAACTTTTGACTATCGATATTTAAAGAACTTTAAGTTGTGAAATAGTTTATTAATTATGTTCTTTTGTTCTGTCCATTCCTTCTCCCATTAGATTCCATGTTAAAAACTCCACTGTTCAGGAAAATGTTTGTGCTCTTTGCCTAGAACCCATTACCAATTCACCCACTGAAGCCAAAGTATGTGAAAAATGTTGTCGCAAGCATAATCTCAATACAAAATTCAAGCAACGCGAGCATTTTGAACGTCCCGCCGAGCTAAGGCAATTTATTGAAAACCGTTGCAATCTTTGCAAAATGATTTTACCACATGCTCAAAAACTCCAAGAACACTTGGTCGAACACACCTTTGCCGGTTGCGAGGATAGGGGCTTCAATTGTTACATCTGTTCGGCAGTTTTTACGGCACCAAGTGGTCTACTTAATCATATGCTCGAGCATGGTGTTAACTCCAAGCCTTATGATTGTAATTTATGTCCTGAGAAATACTATTTCCGCGCTGAATTAGATCATCATCTAATCGATCATGATTTAAGACAATCTCCCACTGCAGTTAAAAACGAGCAAGAGCAATTGACACCTAAAGAAGATACTGGCATGAAACCAGAGAAACCTGCCGAAAGATTAAATGAGGTTAAGCAAGAAGTAATTGAAACTGATCATAATTCTAATGTGGCTGATGAAGATGAATACATAGAGGTGGAAAAGGTAAATGAGAATAACAACAATAACAATCAGTTGGATGATACAGTATCGAATAAAACTGAAGAGTCCAAAGAGAAATCAACTGAACATATCAGAGATGAAAAGGCATAAACTAATACTACCCTAAAATAATCGTTTATAAAATAATTAGAGTTAAACTTTTCAAAAAAAGATACATATTCGCATACATATATATAAAAAGATTTTGAAAAACCCCCATATGTCTAACCATACATTAATATAAAACATAGTTAAATAATTAAAGTATTATTGATTGCATTTTACCAGTATTCGCTTATAATTTACATACATATATACATAAATATAAATTAATTAAAAAACCTATAATTAATTAGTTATTAAGTCTATAATATACATAAATATTTTAATTATTTATAAATTTAGTAAACATTCCAGTATTATTGTGATAAGCCTAAGATGTCGGACATTGTTTATTTCTGTTTGAAAATTGTTAAATTAAAAAAAAAAAAAAATGTTCTTATTTGATTTTTAAATTGTTTTAACTGTAAAAAATTGCATTAATTTCTGTTGACAAAAATAAGATTATTTTTACAAACATATTTAAATAAATTAACTTAAATAAATATACAAAAATTCTTAATTAAGCACTTTGTAATTAAACAAATATCATCTGCATTTCTTTTGAACAATAAACAATTGAATAAAATTATTTAATTTAAAGTGTTTTATTTGAAAAAAGGGAAAGTTGAATAATTTGTATATCAGCTGAATAAACTTCTTCCGTATTGGGCTTTGAAATTGTAGTTCAGAAAATTTAAATTTTTAAAGCTTTTACCTTAGTGAGAAGACTATATAAGTTTGTCATTCCTTTTGTAATATCTTAATACAATTTTCCGACCATATAAAGTATATTCCGATGACCCATTAATTAGAATTCCCAACTGTGGGTCACCAACTATGGTTTTCGATAGATCATTTGAGGTTATTATACCGAATGGGGACTGATCAAACTTGGTGGCAAGAAAAAGCTGATCAAGTTTGGTTCACAAATGGATCCAAACAAATAAACGGCGAAACGAGAGCGGGCATTTGTGCCCCCAATTTCCAAAAGGCCGTCCCCCTTGGACACTATCCTTCAATCTTTCAAGCAGAAATATATGCCATCTTTATTTGTGCTAGGGAGTGCGTTAGGAGAAGAACTAAGGGATTAAAAATTTTTATAATGTAGGATAGCCTTATTGCCATACGAGGCAAGGTCGGGTGTTGTAATGGACTGCTTGACTTCACTCAATGAGTTGGTTAAACACAACAAACTGACCTTGTGTATCTGGCCATTAGGGTCACTTTGGCAATGAAAGGGCAGACAGCCTAGGAAATAGGGGCGCTCGTCGCCAACTAATCGGCCCTGACCGCTTCTTTGGCATTCCCCGAGGGTACGGCAAAGCTAAATGTGACTCTTGGATGAAATCTGAACTTATTCGCCATTAGGAAGCAATACAAGGGCTTAGACATACTATACAAAACGTTTCATTACACTGTCAAAGGGAAAATCCCAAAAGCTACTAGCGCTCAATAAAAGCGATCTCAGAGTACTAACGAGATTACTTACTGCACATAGTGGTCTCAGATACCATCAATTCATTCTAAGCAACTTTTCAACGAATCTATGCAGATTAGGTGACCTAAAAGATGAAACCTCAAAACATATTTTATGTAACTGCCCAACATTAGGGTCTCACAGAGCTAAGATCTTGGGTGCTACCTTGCTAACTCCAAAAGACATCTACAACCTCTCACCAACTAAACCAGTTACCTTCGTGCGTGAACCAATGGGCTGCACAAAAGATCCACACATAGGTCACAGTGCTTTGTGCCCCTTCAATCTAATCGAATCTAAGCATATTCCGAGTCTTTACAGATATGTTTCAACAATTCTGCCAGACATGCTTTCAAGAAGTTCCTATTTAAAATCAGAAAAATAGGTCCATAAATAACGGAGATATGAGCAAAAATCCGAAACAACCTCTGAAAAGTTTTGGTGCATACTGAGACAGAAATTCTAAACAAACAACAACTATACACATCATACGGTAAATATTGTTCTTGTACTGCTTGTTGTTGTTATTGCCTAGAAACATGAAATTAATTATGTAGAGTTCGGACTCCGGATTAAGTGAGAACCTATAAAAGGGGACTTTTGCATTCTTCAAAATGTACTTTTTTAATTTTCTATTATATTGAACTTATAAACATGAAATCAAACATGTAAAGCCAAGATTAAGTGAAAACATATAAAAAGGGACTTTTTGGTACTTTTTCGTTCTTCAAAAGGCACTTTTTGATTTTTCTATAAAGGGGACCCGGAGTAAGTGAGAACCTATAAAAGGGGCCCTTTGGTATTTTTCGTTCTTCAAAGGGTATTTTTTGAATTTTTTATAATATTGAACCAAGAAACATAAAATTAAACATTAAGAGCCACTCTAAGCAAGAGGAATTTATTGAAATTGGACTAATTACTTCCATGTTTCAAATTTATTTCCCTTTATTCCAAATTTACACACTGTGTGTCGTTTCTATAAGTCAGATGACAACGCTTTTGTATTCTTAATCTATATGCTGTGATCGATTAGCCAGACCCATGTTGGGGAATTTTAACATTGTTTTTGTAATTAGTTACATTGCATTTTTAATATATTTGCAAATCGGTAAAAGTTTTCCTTCTCAATACAAAGAACAACATTTTAAGAGTTTAATGAATGTTGACTACAGGCTAATTGTACAGTGGGCCACATTACGTGCAAATAGTTCTTCTACAAAGATCCCACAATCGATACACATTGTTGAACCTTTCCTCAATATAGTGTCTCCATTTTATTTTCCAATCCAGAACTACACATACATAAGCACTTAACTCCACTGAAGTAACATTTACACCTCTCAGTTGAGCACATATAAAGACTGAGCCTTCTGGGCACTTCTATACATGTAATTTGGATTCTTTCTCATTAGAAGTATTACAACAACATCCGCATAGCTGATAAAACTAAATGCATTCCCATCTGGCATCCTTAGGATGCAGCTTATAAACATGTTTCTAAGATGTATTTGATCTCGTCACGGAATCAATACTTAACTGGTTCAGGTATCGGATAAGAGTATTAATTTAGGGCCCCTTCGATGTCGGTGTGTATAATTTGTTATCAAAGGATTCATCTGTAGCATAACCACGTTTTCCGGGCTTTATTATTTAATTTCGTTATGTGCGAACTCCAAGTGTACAGTAGAAATCAATGACGGATAAATTGAAGTTAATTTAGCTTACATCAGTAAGAGTGCCGGAAAAATACAATCCGGTCCTGTGGCCTTATTCAAAACTATTGTTTGCTTCCTTACCATACATGTTAAAATTACTAGATAAGCCTCTTCTTCTTTCGGCATCGGGAAGAACAGAATTCATCCTACCGATTAAGCACTACAATGAACAGTATATAACTTCGCACACAAGTTCAACTGTTATAACAATACAATTACAAATCTCATTATAACTGAATTTAACATCCCATTCTATTGACACATAACAGTGCTTCTAATGGGAATCGAACTCTTGATCTCCAAAATTATACAACTATTAAAACTAATAAAGGCAAGAGGAATGAAGCAGTGTAATTAGCAATATCTCTTGGATCAAGAACCTAGTTTAAATCTAATCAAGACTTTCTAAATACAGTACTCAATAACTATGCGGTTTTGTCAAAATGAAACTAAACACAATATTGAAAAAGTAATTACTTCAACAATTACATTTAATTTCAATTTAGAATAATTACTAACGGGGTGCAATATAATGTAATGTTCATTGTTCTATGAATAGCAATGTAAATATTTCAAATTCTTTAACTTTCAAATCATATTAAATTTGTAACTCATTTAATTTAGACTTCTGTTTAGTATTACAACATTGTTAACGTTATTTATTGTTAAATATGTGTTTTATTACAAAAGTACATCAATAAAGATTTCTTAAAAAAACTATTAAATTCTTTATAAATTTACGTCATAAATATGAAACTGCTAAAGAAATTGTTTAATAATATGTTTAAATATTGTTAACACGTAATAATTTTATATAAAATTCTTAGAGAAGACCCATCAAAATCTACAAAAATAAAAACAAACCAAAAAAACTGAAATAATTCCCCCACCGACAGATAAAACCCGTCACAGAAAAAAAAACGAATAAATCTCCACCACATGTATTTATGATCAGATAAATAAGAACTCGATTAAAGTAATTCGGAACTAAAACAGAAACATCAACAGCAACAACAACAATCACATCAACAATATGAACAATCAGTTGAAGACTCATAAAAAAGTGATTTAAAAGTTCAACTCGCTTTCCTTGAATAAAATAACCGAATCCATATAATTGTCATTATGGAACGGCCACAAAAGAGCGCACAAATAACCAAACACATAAATGCTGTCATTTTTATGGCAAATTTTTCATTGTCTCCTGTCCGTGGCACGTAACAGCAATAAAAAAGGTGCACATGCGCAATGTTCAAAGTTGTTACTCCGTTTAATTTTTTTTCGTTCTTTCAGTTTGTTTATATATTTTTTTTATTATTTGTTTTGATGACAAATGGGCGAAACAGAATTTAAAATTAACAAGTAAAAGTTTAAACAAAAGTTAACTACTACAGTTTGGTCAAATATTTCTTTATCATCTTATTATTAAAGAATTTAGTTTGTTATTTGGTTTGTAACATATGTATATCAAACATAAGTATCCTGGACCATATGTATGGATAGAGGTTAAGAACACTTATAATTAGCGCACAAATACTATATGTGTTCAGGACTTTCCAAAGTATTTTGGCGAAAGTACAGTGGTGGCCCTATATATTTCCACGACATGGACACTTCTGTTAAAACTAATTGCATTTGGTATTGATAATAATTTCTCTCGATTTATTTCGAGCATTCTCAGAGATCACACTATACGAGTTATTCCCCCCGAGGCATATTACATGTTGATGAAAGACCCTAATCTTAGTGTTATTGCAATATCGGGGAAAAGAGGTGCGACCTATACCTCTAGTCTGCTGGGACTATAAACCAGTTATGATCAAATGTATCCTCGATCTTTCCTTGGAATGATTTAGCATGAGAACGAAGCAGAGAATTACATTATCTGGTACTACGGGAACCGGTAGCCCGCAAGGCAAAGTTTCGGACTTTGTCTTGTCCGTTCGGTGCAGAGGAGAGACTGCTGGACTAATAGTTGGAAATGAGTTGGTGTTAAGTGTATATGAACGGTATGAATTTAGGGGTATGCGAACCTTACCTATCCGTAGTGTGAATGAACCTTACCTATCCG